TCCAGGGCTCTCTTGGAGTGTAAGTTTTTGATAGTTCCTGTATATTGTCTGAAGCAAGAAATGAATGTATATGAGGTTCAATTTGTGTTTCGCTTATACTCTTCACTAAGAAAAGGGATGGAAACAGAAAAGGGATGGAAACAGAAAAGGAAAGGCTAATTTAGACCAATGTTTTTTTACATATAAGTTGAACCCAGAACAAAAACCTTAACTCAACTACGTCCTCCTACAGCTGTTCAACCTAATTCAAGTGCAATACTAACTATAAATTCCATAACATTAATAAAAAATAACTGAAAGCAGATGTGAATTTGTAAATTTTCACCTGCTCAATATTGACACTGAATGGTCCTTTTGATTGGCATTCAGGGCAAGAACCAACTTTGACTTCAGAATAAGAATTCTGAAAGAATGGCCCCAAGATTGCCCCACATTTATTGCAATCATACTTTACTTGCTGCAACTGGGGAAACACCCCAGAGCGTCGGGTCACAACCCCTCCAATACGAATCATGGTATTCAAATGGACCTGCCTGCACATCATTAGAGATGAAATTGTCACCACAAAGGAAAAGGCAAGGAAAGGTTTCACCAAACAATAAAATCCCCAGCATACCTAATGTTGCGAATCTGATCGTAAACAGGTAAGTTAGTTATCCGAACATAGATCTTTTGATGGATACGTTTGTAATTGGGGTGTAAAGTAAACACAACATTCTTGGCAACATCTTCCATAACTTCAAGGACAGACTGGGGGGCATCAGCCAACCAAATGGCAATATTGGGATGAACATGGATGAATTGCTTGTAATCAATCTCCAGACTACACTTATTGGCTGCAAAATGCAACAGTAAATTCATTCAAATCCAAAATCCAAGGCACTATTAGCTTCCTGCTTGCACAAACAATGGGGTAAAAAGTAGAACAGTTAATAGACCATAACAGTCATGAAAGAAGCTACGCATTTACCTAACACCATCTCATTAATGAGGCGCACACATTCGATATCACTGTGATCCTTTTTCACATAGGTGAGTAAAAACTCTTTGAATTTTCTGCCTATGAATCTTCGCACTTCGTCTCTCGTAACCCACTCTCTAAGCGTTCCCTGAACACAATACATATTAAAGTCTTCGTCTTCATCATCCTACACATGAAACCCACAACCAGTGATAAGAATTTGACATACGAGAAAAGGGTTTGCAACGCAAGTTAAGGATGATTTGTATAACTAAACCTCATCGCCGTCAACATCAGTCTCTCTGGAGTGTTCAGGCTGTGACTGTGATCTTCCGGGTGAACTCTGCATTCCATCTGTATCATCGTAGCTTCTCGGAGGCCTGAAATCTGCCCTTGCTCTCTTCGAAGGCCGGTAGCTATCATCATCAGTATCTGCAACCACAATGCCAACACACTCTCAACATTTCACCAACACCAACATCAAAAACCTAATTCTGAAATTGTTAATTAAATTCAGAGAAACAAAATTTACTCACCTTGGTCATGGAGAAGATGGGGGAGCTTGCGGGAGGTGTGGACGCCGTCGCGGGTATCAAGCTCGACTTCCGCGGCCCGGCGGTCGGCCATGATCTGATCCAAATCCCTCTCGTCCTCAACGGAATCATCCAGCCCCACCGACTCGTATTGATCGTGCCCATCCAATCTCCGATAATCACTAATTAATCATCCACAACAATCATTTCTCGAAAATCAAAACTAGGAAAATAAAATAAATTGAAAAACATCATGCTTTTTAGAGAGAGAGGAAACTGAAGTACTGACTCCAAGAAATTGTCGTGGAAGAGATCCTCTCCCTCCTCCTCTTCAAGGAGGGGGTCGTCGTCGGGTTCATCTCGGACGATTTCGGGGTCGACGGCGGCCTCGTCGTCGGAAGAGGAGGATGAGAAGTTCTCGGAGGTGCGGCTCGTGTGCGGCAGCTGGTCGGTGTTGAACCCGACCGACGTCGGCGAATCCGGCGTCGACGGATGATTATCTGCCATTTCCTTAAATTAAAGTTCTTTTCTTTCTCTCTCACGCTCTGTGATTCTCTCTTTCTCTCTATGCGGCTGAAATTGCAATTCAGAAATTGGAATTCTGCTGCCCTTAGGGCTCATACGGGAGGAGGCCTCTACTTTTTGGCGGGAACCTTTCCCGCCATTTTGGCTCGCGTGGGCTGCCACGTCGCATGATGAATCGACCTCATTTTGGGCTTTCAGAATTCAGTTGAGACCCCATGGTCTGGACCTGGGCTTTGGATTCGGAAACTCAAATTCTTGGCGGGCTTGGATCAACCCAAATTATAAACCGACTGAAAACTCGTCAAGACACGACAACTTGGTATCGGCGCATCATGTATATACAAAAGGAAACTTGTACATGTCATTGTATTGTCGATACAAAATGTTATGGTATATCCGTACCATGAGGTATCGTTTAGTACACATACGGAACAGGACGGAACGGATGTTTTATGTTATGTTTGGTACGAGTAGGACAGAATGAGATGGTTGTTCCATTTTACGTTTGGTAGCGCATGGACGGAACGGAACCGAAAGATTAAATGGCTAAAATACCCATATTTCGTCTGTTGTTTGGTACAATATTTATGCGTGGAATGGGACGAGACTTTTTTATGTTTTTTTAACTTGTTCAAATTTGAACACTATATGCTTATCCATTAGTTGTTTTTCTTGGTCCAAATTTTATTAGGTATATGTTGTATTCCACATGCAAACCCCTTTAAAATTTGTACTGTACCGAATAAGAGAACTTAGAACTAATATTTTTTTAAGAGAAAAAAAAATAATCATTAATGAAAAAGAAAAAGATTAAAAAACAAAGAACCTGTCAAATGCAAGAACCCAGTTTGATGATTAATGGAAAAGAAAAAGAATAGAAAAAAAAAAAACAAAGTTGACAGAGGCTTGTCAAATGCAGAAAGAACCCAGCAACCATTACACCAGCGTGGGTGGATGGTGTCAAGTAGCGGCGTGGAGTACAGACAGCGGGTTCAAGTGGTACATGCTGAAGCCGAGGATGCGACAGTAGGTTTCCAGGAGTGAGGTTCTCAGATTTGGGTTTTGGCAAACGACGACAACAAATTGTGACAGATACGGGGTCTAGGTTTTGGGCTTCAACTCAACGCAGCTTGGTTTCAGACTTCCAACTCCCACATGAAATCTCTCCCAATTTTGAATTTAATCCCCACACCCCAACAAAATCAATTAGCAATTAAGCCACAAGCCTAGATATTCGAATCGTGATGCCCAGGAACGGAGGTCACAGTGCCCACCTGGGTTCGATCTGCTACCTCTAGTTCTATGTGCATATCTGCTTGATGTGGATCGTTCGATCTGCTACCTCTAAATCTCTAGTCGTATCTGCTTGGTGTTAATCGGAGGTTGCGACCTCCAAGAGCTGATGGTGTAAATAGTGAAAAAGTCAAGGGGTATTTTTGTCTTAAAATGTTATAAATTTGTGTTCTACGGGCGTGGAACAAGTCATTCTAGGGGGAGGCAGAACGAAAAAGTACCCAAAACTTGTCCTGTGAAACAATGCGTTTCATCTGTTTTAGGCGCACCAAACGGGAGACGGAAGACCTCATCCCACTTGGTTTCGTCCTTTCTCGTGTACCAAACGGTACCAGAAAGTCTTTTAAAGATAAAGGAGAGGAAAATGATGCGGAGATTTTTGCGATGCTTTCCAGCATAAACTGTTTACAATTTTCTTTCCGCCATCTACATTGGTAAGCGGAGATATCATCAATTCTACATCTTAAACTATAAACTCGTTGTCCGCCTTATAACAAGGCTTGTGTATTGGGCCACGTACTAAAAAAATGTCTCATTTTTAAAAGGGGTGTGTTATCCACACATCCCTTTTTACTTCTCACACATCCCTTGTTAACTTCTGTTCGTTGATCTTCTTCAATTCATCCGATCTGACGGCTGAAAACTAAAAAGGTATGGGAGAAGTAAAAAGGGGTGTGTGGATATCACACCCCTTTTTAAAACAGCTCTATATATGCGTATCATTTTGTATAACAATATTCGTATTCTAAGTTGTTAAGGGAAGGAGAGAGGGATTGAAGTCGAGATGTAGTGGGTTAAAAAGTAAGACGACAATCTAGCACTTGCAACTAAATTTTATTCCTTTTTAAATATTAATTGTTTTTACTCAACCATGAAATAAATATTAGGGTTAAGAGCACCCAACCTTCTGGAGTGATTCCAAATTAATCTCTCAACCTTTTAAAACTTCAAAATAACTACCTAACATTTGAAAAGTTAGACACCCGTTAGGTCACTAACATTAAATGATAACTTTACCAACACTAAGTGATGATGATTTGAGCATTAAATGATGAGGTGAACAAATAATAAATTTTTTTTGTTTGTTTTGGTAACGAAGAAATACTAAACTTTGTCTCTACTAATTGTTGTCTTTGGAGATATAATTCCTCAAATCGGCTTCTTTTAGCAAAGTTAAGTCATACATTTGTTTAGCTAAACTGTGTCAATTTGAAGATTCAAAGCTCTGTAGATGACTTGAGAATAAAAAAACCTATTTAATAGTTGTCCACATCATCAACATTTGATAGTTGTTAATTTTTTTAAAAGGATAGGACCAATTTTGAATCTTCGCTGAAAATTGGGTAGTTATCCGAACTTAACCCTAAATATTGTATCGGGAAGGCATGCGTGGCCTCTTTCTAATTGTTGTCTAAGGCCTTAGGTTGAGCCGTCTCAAACATCACAAATCAACTAATTTGTGTGTATAGTTTTCACAAAACACAGTCCATTTGTTTATCACCTTCTTTACTACGTGTGGATCTAACTTTTGTTACATTTTTTTTTTTTTTGAGGAAACCTTTATATTGAATAAGACTAAAGTTGGTTAATTACAAGTATATCGACTTTGTGACTGGGAGAAGAAAAAAGAAGCACCACCAACAACTTGACATGCATACGTTACCAGAACTAGCAGTGGCAGTGCGCACTGGAATCTAACTCCAACCTTTATTCCATTCCAAAAAGTATACATTACTAACAGCTTTACAGCTACATTTATACTTGTAAAATTACAAGGCAATAGAAAGAAAAAAAGCCCCAGAGCCCTAAGCACTTTCCAGCCATGTTCAAATTTTCTGAAAAGCTGGGCCAATAATAGATGCATGAGATAGCCAAATCAGATAAGTTTAACCTGTTTGATGGCAAATAATAGGGTTCGATCGATTCATCCTACACGTAATTATTTAGAGAATTGTTATAAGCACTCTAAAATAATCATCTTACACTCTTGCCTTTCTTGTTTTCTTTCATGAAAAAAAAGTGCAAGATATGATTATATTGGAATGCTAATAACAATACTTCTTGTCAATTAATGTAAACAACATGTAATTATTTTGAGTTGATTTGTCAGAATATTCAGACGCTTCTGTCGAGCATTTCTTGATGCCTTTTGAAGGATAGAAGCTTTTGCAAGCGCATTTGTTTGTGAAACCTGTTAATGAACAAATCCGCAACGTGGTCTATCTCGTCTTCCAGCTTGAAATCCTGTCCTTCCTCTTTGGAATTCTTCACCAGATCGATCACAGACCCGCCAGCTTTGACATCGTCAAAGTTCTCATTTTCATCGAACAACGAGTGAGTGAGATCAGGGTACTTATCATCGTCATCGTCCTCCTCCTCATCTTCACCATTGTACCTTCGCATGTAGCTTGAAGTACCAGCTGTATGCGAGTACTCATTGGCCATGGCATTGTAGAGAACAAGCGCCTTGTTTTGGTCTCCTTCCTCCTCCTCCCCTTGATCACGGTGATCGTGACCTAAAAGGCTATGGATCTTGTGCGACACAGTGTCCATCAAAACCTTCTTGTTCTTCACCAATGAAAACATTATCAGGCGAGCTTTAGCGGCGCTGGTTTTGCTCTTGTTTTGGTCTCCTTCCTCCTCCTCCTCCTCTTGATCACGGTGATCGTGACCTAAAAGGCTATGGATCTTGTGCGACACAGTGTCCATCAAAACCTTCTTGTTCTTCACCAATGAAAACATTATCAGGCGAGCTTTAGCGGCGCTGGTTTTGCTCTTGATGGCGAGGGACTTGGCTTTGGCTATTGAGCTCAACAATGTGATTATCTGCTTCAAGAAAACAGAAGCCTTATTCTTCATGATTATTTTCTTGCTTAATTAGTCACAATTGCGATGAGTTAGTAAGGAAACCCTAGATTTCGATCAAAAAAGCAAGGAAACACTATATATTCAAGTGAACGAAACCTTTTGAAGAAAGAGTATGTAAGGAAATGTGAGATGCTCAAGAGAAAGAATATGATGGAAGCTTGATTATTTTGCATGAAGGAATACAAGAGCCTTAGGGGGGTTTATATAGAAAGCAAAAAGCTTCTACTTTTTTGGTGAAGGAGTGGGGTGAAAGTGTAAAGCAAAAAATAAGAAAAATATTTAGAACAAAATCAGAAACGGAAACTTCTTGTAGCACTGTACAGTGTGCCACATGGAGTTCATGATCTTTTTACGCAAGTGGAACCAAGCATCCTCGTCGAACACGACCTGTGGACAAATATGTGGGACGTACGATCGACTTTTTTTGGAGAAAAAGCTTGATGACGATGGTTATTTTAGGTGCACAAAACATATGTTAATTAATGGTTGAAGACGATTATGTCCCTGGGATTAGCCAACTAAGTAATGTCATGCAGGTGGGTATATAAAGTGGTTCTGAGGATATGAAACTCTCCCAGTTGGGGGTAAATATTTCACTTTATTAGGGTGCTAAGAAATTAAAGGTAATGAAAAGGAGTTTGGACGGTGGGAGTTAAGTAAAGCGGCCAGTGAAAAGTAATATTCAACGGAAAAAAGTGAAGCTATATATTCGTTGCTCATGCACTAAGTTTTGGAGTTAGGTGCATAAAAAAATGCAATAATGTTATATGAGTTATGTGCATGCTGAATGTGAATGTACTGAAATAATCCTACATATTATAATGCATGTTGTGTTATGCCCATGTATACAAATCAAACTTAATCATCAAAGTTAACAACTTATATAAAAACCATCAGGAAGTGGATTAGTAGTTGGGGACAAATTCTAAACCTGTATTTCACACGACACGTCATGAGTTCAATTTCTGACATTGGTGAATCACCTGATGATGGTTATGGGAATGCTGAAATGGTCTTTCGAACTTTCAAAATGGTGGATTGCCGCCCTTTTTAAAAAAAAATTACTTATAAAGAAAAAGTAAATATTAAATTAATTTTCCATGATAAAATAATTGATTACAAGTGGTGGCGTTACAAAGTGAAGTCAATACAAATTGCTCAATAAGAAATAAAGAACAAATCAATTTTACATATAAACAGCCAGGGTCATTTGTCATCGATTTCTCTTTTGAAGGACGATTGTATCGCTTGCTATTCTGGCAGAAATTTGATTCTGCACCTTGATAGCACTGTTTCATCATAGGAAATGGGTAGGAGATTATCTCCGCAGTGCTTTCATTGAATCATCCACAATTCGGTTGTCCCCTTGAACCTAGATCTTGGGATCTCCAGTCAGCTAGGTTGGGTTGCCATTATGGCGATTCTTAAAGATGTAGGCTTTTAACCGATTCTTCTCGATGATACAACTTACTCTCTGACCAAACATTTAAAAATTGGTACCACTAGGTTGACTACTCATTATATGGCCACCACAAACTTTATATCCATGCATGGAAATAACTTTCGTTTGAGAGTAGTTGTTTTCCAACGTTAAGTCCTCCAAACATATATTAGGACTTACTAAGTAATTTGATAACATTTGGGTTAACTCCCCCACATTTAAGGTATTTGCTAGAAGATCTCCAGCCTTTCAATACCTTAAAACTTCAATTATAAGTAATCGTTATCTCTTTCTAGAAGCAAATTACTTTTGCATTATTTTTAAGTATATCATATTTCTCAAAAATTGCTAAACCACCCCCACAATTCACACACATTGTGGTTGCTTTAATGCTATTAATAACTCTTTCATCATACATCATGCTTGAGAAGAAAGCCGATGAAAATAGATTTTCTATATCATATCTATCTTCACCTGTTAGGGCTCTGTCTTGACAACTTTCAAAGTTCCCATTGTTAAAGACTCATCTATAGAGTGCTTTAAGTCTTTCAAATAGACCTTGGCCCCCACAGTCTAATTGTCATCTTCCAAAGTTGAATAACTCATGCAAAATGAGTTTTACATGCATATGTTACAATGTAATAATGAGTTCTGACTACACCAAAAGACGTGTGTCCAGTTCTCTTAGGGTTATAACTTATATACCCTTTCATTTGAATACAACTCATTCCAACGAATCAGGTTTGACAATGTATTTTATCAATTAGAAATGCAAGTTGTTCGTGTGAAGTAAATTTTCTTGCGAACACTAAACTCAAACTTCACTTGAAATCACACACACATGGTAAAGCCTCTCAATTAGTTATGACTCATGGTACGATTCATGTAATCCCACATATGTGTTTGGATGTTTTACCAATTAACGTATCTTTTCATTTTAAATGCAAAAGATACACCATTTACGTTTTTAGCATGAAGACATGATTGCCAACTGCAAACTGGTGCCATTCATAGACACCATTGATCTCTTTCGTTAGTCTGAAAAGGATCAAATCATAACCACATCTCTGTAACTCAATATAGTTACCGTCTGACATAAGTCATCATGCCCTTTCAACATTTTTGGAAAGATGGCATCTGTTTAGTCTTTCATGCATTTGTTCGAATTTGAACAGTCATGGCCGTTCCCTTTTTGGGCTTAGCAGGGATGTAATTTCCAGCCTACCACATCCTTTCACCAATCAGTAGCCAATCTAGGCAAACGTTATGATTTATATTCAGATAATTAAACATATGCATGCCTGATGACATATGGTTTGAATTGTCAAACCGTTCTACCACTTTGTTTTATTCCAAGAAACCAATATGCACTCAAAAGGTTTAACATGAAAATTGCAATCAATTGTTCCAGATACATTCCTTCAAATCTGTGTGGCGCATTCTTTGGTAAATTAAAATTGCCAAATAATAACATCTGAAGTTGGTTTTTCAAACAAAGAGATAACTAAATAATTAATTGTCAGCATGCACCAAGATTAATATCATAATCATGGATCGTGATTCATATATAAAAACGGAAATATCAGTCAGTACTATGGTAAGAATACGATTCATTAGACAAGCAAATGTACCGCTTCACAATATATATGTCTTTGAATAGTCAATTAATATATGATATATAGGCAGCACTATTGTAATCAATATACATAACAATATTGGACGCAAGGATGAACATACAAAATTCTATCTCGCCAACATATTATAACAAATAAACCAATAAACTTGTCTTAAGATTGTTAGAGAAAAAAAATTAGGGTTTAAAAGCACTCATGAGAAACCAAGAATTGTTTAGGGCCAAAATGAACACAACCGAGCAACCACGAGGTGTCTGGAAGGGTATTGTGTGATTACTATTGTCTTAGTTTACACAAACGGCTGAGCAGGTCAAGACATTGTGTTCACTGATTATCCAAGTAAATCCGATAGTAATTCACTACGGAAGGTTCAAAGCCAAAAGCCACCTATCCCGATGCGGTACTTTTCCTATTGAATTCTCTCTCTGGTGTCTGCATTGTCATTTGCATGGTATTGAGTCAATTTCCATTCATGTGGGGGATTGTTGGAAAATTTAATAATATTATTATTATTTTAAATTTATTAATTGAATGGAAATTAGAATTGGAGCATTTTGGTAGAAAAATATGTCTACTCAGTTGCAACTTTTGACTCTTCATGAATAGTCACATACTTTCCAAAAAGGTATTTCACATTCTATAAATAGGGAAGCCCCCTTTAATCACAAAATAACTTTCATTTATATATATATATATATATATAATCATACATAGAGTGCACTAAATATTAGAGAGTTTCATTTAGTCCATATGAGAAAGTTTTCAACACAATCGTAGTTTATGGAGCCTTGTGATTTGGAGTGCTACTAAGGACGTGGTCATTGTATCTTGGGAGACATACGCCGATTAATCATGAGCACTGTAGTGGGGCGTAAATTTGTCTCAAGGACAAAGTGTCTAACACTTGCCTCGACCGTATTTTCAGGTTTTTCTAATCCATTATGTCATGTTCATTTAATATTAATTACTCATGTGCATGCATTACTTTGATATATAATTGCATAAATTATTTATTGATTTTCCATGTGAATTACACCCTAATTTTTGTTTCTAACAGGTTAATGGTTCTGTTGAAATCAATATCGAAGTTTGTGACAGATGAATGATAGGATCAATCGAGCACACACGTATACTAATCAAATGCATATAATATTTTGCATTTCATGACTTTTATGGGTACGTTTATGCATTATGCATGGTCTCCTTTCACACGCTGCAGCTATGTCATCAGTACATTGTGAACGTTAGAAAGGAATTCGAAGTTCTATTATATACGACATCGGTTCAAAATCAACCATTGTTTGATAGATTGACAAATCACAATCTACTTGTAATGAATCTAATGACGTATATAAGTTATAAGTTAGACTCCTTTGTACAATTAATTAGTATCCCACTTGAGATCTTAGTGATGAAAGTTTATTTAAAATTAATTTATCTACATCAACAACATCTAGCTTGACGTAGAACGGATGGTTGAGCGTATCGAAGAGGACAAACGTAAGGTTGGCAACAAAGCTCAAGGAGTGCAGGTCTGGGCTCAAGCGTTAGAATTGGGTGCATAATACATTTTTCGAAAGGAACGATGTAAGGAAGGGAAATGAATCATCTCAGGATCCCTTCCTCCTAATCCACCAAATCAGGGAATCTGTACCATTAAAATTTGATCTAACGGCTGAAATTATTATTACTTTTAAAGTGACCCCCTATTTGTAGTCGTTGAATTAAATTTCAATGATACGGATTCCCTGATTTGGTGATTAGGGGGAAGGGATCCGGAGAGGATCCCTTTCCGTAAGGAATAACATGGCTGGATCACCAGTTTTGCTTATGACATAGGGGTGATTTGGCCAATTTCCTTCGTTTACTATCCCAAAGCAGTATTTTAAGTTTTGAGGCTATTTTCGGAGGACTAGGTTTCTCTCCCCTCCTTTGTCCATCATCTTCAATCCCCTCCTCTCACATTCTCTTATTTTGTATTTCTCTTGCCATAAGAATTAATATAAGATGTTGATTTGGCTTAATCGTGATCGTTCAAATAGGAGAGGAGGGAAGATGAGGGAAGGGGAGGGAAAAAAAGAGGGGAGAGAATCCTACTTCATTTTCGG